TATATATATATTCCATTGAGTTATATATATATATATATATATATATATATATATATATATATATATATATCGAATTACAGAATATTGTTGTGTTTATAGCAGTTGACTTGGCAGAGCCTTAGCAAACTTTGTTATAATATTAATTAAATGAATCTTGATTACGTGGATCAAAATAAATAAATATTAACATCCGAATATGAATTCATTATTAGTTTAATTTTTCCTCAAAATTAAGAAACATATCAGGAAGTATACTATCTACTCTACTTAGTCCTATACTTGAAAAATGAAAATAATAAAAGCTCTTGAACTAATAAACAAGCAAATATTAACATTCTATAAAAAGTAATAACATAATAAATTTTTGTGATCATTATGGTCACAAAAAATTGTACGTTACTCATATGTTTAAGAGAAATAAAAATGCATGTGACTTACGATTCGGTGCGAAGATCGATGCTGAGATGTAGGAAATATCATCATTAAATAGAAGTGTCATTAAATAGGATAAATTGAATCCATTGAAAGCAAGCAAGTTGCAAAAATCTTTAACAAAAAACATGAATATTATAAATTATTCTTAAAGACAGTGTCACATTATTTAGAATGTACGAAATAATGGAAGATTGTTACTTACGGTCTTCGCTTTTGATTCATTGAATCAGTTTTAGACTGGAGTACTTCTTCACGTAACGAACTAACCTTTAAGAAAACGTGAAATATTATAAATTATTCTGAAAAAACACAGTATTAATCGTTAGTGTATATTGAAACATATTAAAACTTATTGCACTTATAATAGCGACCTCTTCAAAAAATAAAGTTATTAATAAAAGTCAAGAGATGACACTACTGTAGAAAATTTGCGCGGGAAATGCAGGCATATATATATATATATATATATAGGTTAGTTCAATTTATTGTTTGAATATAAATAGAAATGTAGAAAATCTATCTATTAAGAAAATTGGAAATCTATTAAGAAAATGTATTCAATTCATTTGTTAATGTTCTCACTAAACTAAGAAATTATTTATGATTCTATTATACAAGTATGTATGAAATATTACCTATAATCTTATCAAATTTCGAATTTTCATTTCTTCTGTGCCATTATCCAATAATTTGTGTAAAAGCAAATCAACAATGTACAAAACAAATGTACAAAACTGAAATGTATAAAATTGCGTGTAAAACAGAACGACTACGAAATAATCTATCGAAAATTTATCTCGAAGTAAAGAATTCGATAACTATCGATGACTTTGATTCATCAAAATAAATAAGGAACAGAAAAGCATAAAAGAGTATTTAATTTTGTTGCAATAGTAATTTGATAATAATTATTTAATAAATAAAATATATTAATAAAACAAACTTAATCATAAGTGTGATGATAGATTAGCATCGGAAGTATTACGCAATCATCAATCGATCTTCACGCCTCCATTTCAATAATCGAATGATACTTCGTGTTTCATTTAACGAATTTTCGGCAAATCCCATATACTGCACATTTGCAATGAAAAATGCAACTGAAAACACGCAGTTTATCACTACGAGAATATCACAGAAGAATATCACTTTTGATCAATCTTTTATTTTCATACCATTTATTCTCATACCCTCGTTCTTTTATTTTCATACCTTAGCCGCTAGAGAGAGCAATTATGTCGCTTTCTTTGAATCACGTGATACTGTGAAACTGCATCCTGGAAATTAGAACAAGCGTCAGTTGACATGGCGAAACGTGCGTTTTTTCTTAACTTCATAGTTTCTTTGACTGATAAAGTAACCTCTCGTATTCAAAGACTAACTTCCACTACTCTTGGAAAAACATGTTTATTCAAGTTGCATTACTTTTATTGCAAAAAGATGTACGTAGGTATGTATAATCTTCTCAGAAGTCAAATTCATCGATTCTTTTGCTTGACTTCGAGTATTGATTTCAGTTCAGTTTTCAATTTCAGTTCAGTTTTCAAAGTTCAGAGTTCAAGGAAAATGTTTCTCAGCGTTCAAAGTTAATGAGTTAATAACTTTGATTGAAGACAGTTCAGTTGTCAGAAGAAGACATAAATAATAAATAATAATAGAAAAATTGTAAGATATTTAAAAAATAATGCTTACAGCGTCATCATTTTATTCTAATTTCTAATTCATGAAGTTGATCTCTGTGACTTCCGAACGGCATACAAAGCAAGTGAATTTGTAAGGTATATATTAGAATAAACGTTCACTTAGTTATTGATCTGATCAAATGAATAACGAAAATTTAATTTCAATTTATTACATATGCATGTATTAAATGTAATTAATTTCTAGCAAACAACAGAGTAACATTGTTTCAACGAGAAAATTCGTGTCCAAACGGTATGTTCTCCATCGCGAATAAACCAAATTAATTTTCGATGACACGGCGAACCTGTTTAATTACGACGCATCTGTCCACTGTTTCACGCATTACGTACCGATTAATTAATTTCCACGTTTCAACTATGAATTAGAACTGGAGAATTTTTGCTGATTTCATATGGTCTCTTTTGTCGGAAACGTTCTCTCAAAAATTAAATGTTGGAATGTGACACTTGCTTGTAGTACGCCTGTGCTTCAAATTGTTTGATTTATTTTCTTGTTAATTAATTGCGAATATTACGAAAATTTCAAATCATTTTGAAACTTTCATAATATTCCAACGACATAATTTTTATTTCGCTCGTATAATGTTTAAATAATGTCCCCAAAGCATTCTCTTTTAATATTTAAAGAATATAATACAAAATAAAACGAAATACCGTTTAGATACTATTCGAAGGTTAAAACTGATTTTTTTTTTGTCAGATATTAATCTTTTTCATACTTCCGCTAAAAGATCGAAGTTTTCTTCTTATCGAATAAATGATCTAAAACTTTTTGAGCAGCGGTGTATAAAACACGAAGTTTCCTTGGAAAATCTTTATGCATAATGGATATCCGTTATCCAGAAAATTATATAATTTATCCAGGATAGATCACTCATGCGACTCCAAGCGTAAAATAAGCTTTCAGTGATGCGTTATATATGTTATTATGCACTGATTATTCTCAATTTTATATGCGACTAAGAGTAATTTTTCTTACATTATAACTTAACTCGCAGAGTTTACTTTATTTTGTTGCAGATAAACAGGAGTAAATTTATTTTTGATTCTGTTACTTATTGTAATAGTTGAAATGATTGTTCGATTCTAATTGAACAAATAATCAAAGTTTTAAACTGATTCATGAATCGAAACAGTATTCAGTGTAAAATGGATTGATGAATTCTTTACACGATTTTACATGAGAGGCTTTAAAACTACAAAAACATTGAATCAATGGATTCGAAGAAGAATAGTACCGTCTGTTGAATATCTGAAACACCAGGCTTTGATGGAAATAGATTGAATGCACATTTTACTTAACTGTGACTAGTCAATGCAAATCGTCAACACAGTTTTCGCATCTTTAACGATAAAAAATGTTCTTAATTTTAAAATAGCTCTTTTATCATTCAGTTTTATTATTCAGTCTTAAAATTAATATTAAATTAATTAAAATTAAATTAAAAATTAATTTAATTAAATTAATTAATTAAAATTTATTTCAAAGACATTAATATTTGTTTCACAATTTATTTCCATTCTGAGAAGAGAATTGAATTTTCATTGAGACAAAATCAATTTACTTGTTCATCCACTTAAATAATTAAAATCAGTCTTTTAAAAAATACTTGAAATATTAAATATTAAAATATTTAAAAATATCATATTTAAAATATTTAATAAATCCTATCGTCATACTTAACAAATATTATCTAAAATTTGCAGGTGACGTGCCAGGATGAAGACAGCACTCAATGCATGCCAAAACAAGCTTTCCTAGCTCTATTGCGCCATCCGGAAGTTAGTTCGAATTTAGCTGCTTATTCTAGAGCAGCAAGAGTAAGTGGAGATGCAAAAAGTCGCAATGATATGGCACACTTGAGAGCTCTAACCGAAGAAGGCGACGACTCAGAGATCTGCGTACCTGGTCGGGTTTATTTGCAACTGTTGAAGGATCCGGTTGTACGTGGCGATCTCAGCATTATTCTTAATGGAAGAACACAGAAGTTACCAGATCTTCTGGGACGTTTGCTCGATGATAGCGATGATATTGACGCGAGGGAATTCTTGCCCGAATCTCAGAAAAGAAGCCTAGCAACGTTGGCTAAGAATGACGATCTACCATTTAGTATTCACGATCGCGTTGTTGAAAATGAAGATGATGAAGAGAAGAGGGCTGTAATTTCGAGGTATATAATTCTGTTCAATTTATTGGATTGGTGCATGAAATGTCTTGTAATCGAAATTTAAATTTGGTGGATCAGTACCATTCAATCAGTTTTCTATTTAATAAAGTTTTCTATTAAATTAAGTGTATTAGATATTATACGATATCAATATCTTATTATTGAGTACTATGGATAATCAGAGTATCACAATATGTATAGTTTTCTTATATGAATTTAAATTTAGGAAACGTGAAGAAATCTGAAAATCAAAAAAGAATTACCTGCAAGTATCGATTTATCAATTTCTTGCTAATCGTTATTCGAAAAATTTGACAAATTTTACAATGTACGAAATTAAAACTAGTTTTTCTATTAATTCCTCAAACAGCGAGCAACAAGGGCAAAACGATTATCTCCTACCAAACAGTCGTTCAGACTTACAAGCTTTCACACGAGATTATCTAATGGAGAAACGAAACGTTGGCACTTTGGCTCGAGATTTCGCGTTGCCACCTGGCAGACGTAATATGGCATCGCTAATTCACGATTACGATCAGAGCAAGAATAATAACAAAGAACCTATGATACGTTACAATGGAAAAAGGAACGTCGCTTCCTTGGCGAGAACGTATACTCTGCCTCATAATGGGAAAAGGAACGTAGCATCCGTAGCCAGAGACTATGGACTTCCTTATGGGAAAAGATACGTCGGTTCCCTAGCTAGAACAGGCGATTTTCCTGCCAGAAACCAGAGGAGTGTCTCATCTTTGGCTAAAAATTCCGCTTGGCCAGTTTCGTTGAAGAGAGGTGTTCTTCTGCCTGGAAGCGTGATCCTTAGGACCCTCTCCCGTCATGGTAGATCGATGGCGGACGAAATGAACGCAAGGAACGACCTGTTGGATCTTCAGGAACTGAGTAATCTGGAAGAGAATCAGGAAAACGATTACGAAACAGCGGAGGAGAAGTTGAACGATTCGTTGGCGAAAATTGAATCGAACGTTAGGAGATCTAAAAGACAGATTGGATTCTCCGATGAATACCCTTTGCCTGTCATGCAGAATACGAACGTTTTCGATTATGAAGAGATGATGGAGGCACTCAGTGGACAATATCCGAATGCTGAGAAGAGGTTCATGGGTGAGTGTACATATTTATTTCTTTACAGCTTAGAGTTAGGAAGTTTAGGAAATTTTCTTTTTGAGGATTCATAAAACGAGAGTGTTAATTATTTTGAAGAAACAATACGTCACTGATGAATGATTCTTCACGATAAAAGAATCTTGATAAGTCAACAAAATGTTAAGACACAAAGTACATTCATTTTCCAACGCGAAATATCCAACCACTGAAATATCAATTTCCTCTTGTTTTCTTTCCAACAACGCATCTCATCCTTGCAACGGGTTAGATTAATAGAATGACGGCAATACGACACGCTATGTCCCCCATAAGCACCCTTGTTCGCACAGATGAAAGTAGACCTCGACTCGTTCGAGGGAGAGTATTTCATATCGTCGGGAATAGACATGTCAACCGCGTAGTAGTTGAACGTGAAAGTCAGAGATCGAGCGTAAATCGAGCGCAATCTGTGAATGTCAGAAACAGGTTCTGCACCGGAGATGCAGCCAGAGGTAGACCAGTTCGGCTACCCGGAAACGTTTCAAGCGAGTAAAAGACACATCGGAGCCCTGGCACGTCTTGGTTGGCTTCCAACTTTGAGGGTCGCGCGATTTTCGCGCTCACCTCGGTATCTAATTGGCAGGTCAGACCATTAGGTTCTCACCTGCTCCGTCATTTTAGGGTAATTCCGGAAGAGATGGACCTTGTTGTTAAAAAGAAAAAGAACATCTTAAACTTACATGTTTCAAAGCTATTCAATAGTATACTTGTCCGTTTGTCTATCATATAGTGAACAATTTATTGCAAAATTATCATGGCACAGTATTATAATAGGTAGCTGTAGAAATCAGTATTTCAGTATTTTAGGTTCCAACCTCCCCTTATTATTACGGGTAAGCGGGTAAGATGGGCCACTTTAACATATTAATAGATATGTTGTTTAAATGGTAGTTAACCGAGCATCTCCTTAAATTTACATGTCTAATCTAATCTCTTGCTAGAAATTGAAGTATCGATCTTTGTCCAAATTTTATAGAAAGTGGAACGTCAAATTTACGAACATGTTTCAGCACATAACAAAATAGTTGTTAATGACGACAAGCTTGAGAACCTGGTCCGTCTCTCCCGATGGTCCATTTGAATATATCTCTCCTATGTTTCTTTGTGTCTCTCTCTCTCTCTCTTTCTCTCTCTGTTTCTCTTTCTCCTTTCTCTTTGTACTGTTCGTCATTTTCCTTTCTTATCATGCTGTGTTGTCGCAAACATCTACGCCCGAATGAAAGTATAGAAAAAGGAAACAAATATGGTTGAATCATCGGAAATATTTGAATATATTTGGGAGAGGGAGATTCTCCGGATCGTAGAAAATGCAATGACCATTTTACGCCAAACGTTCGCCAATATGACATCTTCCACTTCCACTTCTTCTAATTCTATATGGATCGTTCACGGTAGTTAAATAGCAAACTGCATCGTAGGTGTTTCGATGTGGTGCATCTGTCGATGTTATAGAACTTGCGATTCGATGCTGCGACCAATTTAGAGCGCTGATATGGTAGATGTTTTAGATTGACTGGGACATAATAATGTTATAGATATTCTAGCACGGACGATCGATCAATAGATAATTTTAGATAATAGTCTTAGAGTTGCCCTTTGTTGGAATAACGTTGCTGTATCCGTATGAGGGTTATCTGTCTGAACAAGTATTCTAATTTCGGTTTATGTTAATCAGTAATTGATAATTACAGTCGATACATTAATTTCGTAGGAAAATGAAAGAACTGTAAATATTATATGATTATATAAGAGCAGAATATTTCTATTAAGAAAATATGTATCTTATTTACATGATCTCTGTAATCATTCTAGCATCGTACTTTCTCATTTTCTAAAACGGTGAAGTGTAAGTAATCTTTCAATTGTCTTGTCAGAAGAACAATGAATATACTACAATAGATTACCCTATTCTCTATCGTTTATTCTGTAGACAGACAATGTTTTATTACGAATGGTGAATTTATGTATTTTACTCTTTTGTGTTTGAAAATGTTTTATAGTTGTTTCGTGTTGTCAATACAAACATGTATCGAAGACTTCCGCCAAAAATTCAAGTTCTATCGTTAAAACATTGTGTTGTCTTTAATGTTAAGTAGTTAAGTGTTAAATATTAGATATGTGTCGTGCTGTCAAATTTCTTCGCTCATCGAAACTTCGTTTCTGTCAACGAACAACTTAATTGTCTCATAAGCTTATATCTGTAAAATTTTTTTATGCAGCGACTAACTAATAAGTGGTATGAACTATTATGCAAATACAACGAAGGCCTACTATTGTGTTTGTTGTTTCCTTAGGTATGGCAATATACGGGATGCACGCGAAAAAATGATACCCCGAGTAGGAGAATAAAAATGTACAACTAAATTTCTTGAGAATGTACACTGTAACATATATATTACTATATATAATTACTACGATAAATGTATCATAAATGTGCAATTACATTTTCTCAAAATCGAGTGATTTTTGGACAAAGAAAAAGAAAGAAATCACCTCTTGTGTCGTTTTTACAACTGCAATCCGTATTTAGTGATATCAGTGTTTCAGCGCTGTGTAGCGTGTAATAACGATAATCTATGTAGACTATATGTGCTATATAGACTAGTAACTTGCAGTGTAATTAGGGAAAAAACTTTATTTCGCGATTTGACACGAATTTTGAATCATGTATTTTAGGGAGAATCCCGCAGATGGGACCTCGTCCGACTACTCCTCCAACACGTCAAGGTCGCTAAGACCTAACTTCAACCCAAGGGCACGCTACGTTCAAGCCTTGCACGAGGATTGTCGACACGGCTTCGAAAGGTTTCTCCCCTTACCGACTATGGGTAATTATTTCCATCAGAAACTTCCAAGCACGCTGCGATCTAAATCGTCGTAAACCGTTCCCCTTCTAAATTACCTGTTACTCGATAGATGTCGATGAATTAGTTACTTTGTTCACGCGTTTGCTCGTACATCTCTGGAATTGAATAACAATTACTAAACACTTCGCTTTGAGAAACGAATTTTATCTAGGAATGTCCGATATTTGCCTGTAACTGGTAAACGAAAAATTTACAGGTAACTTCTTTCTTGTTCTCAGTTAGCTACTGCAGATCAAATTATTTTCGAATTGCATTTACGAATGTATATGGGGCGCGCCATTGCTTGTGGTTTTGACAGATTGCAAATGACAATAATTTCTGAAGATTCAGAAAACAATTAGATTTAATTCTCTCAATTAGTATCGTGTCGTAAATGATATACAGGAATTTAGTTATTTTTAAGTTAATTTTCACTCTTATTCTATCATTTATCATGTAAGATGTGGAATATAAATTCGAATTAAATGTAGTCTAAGATTGAACGATCTAGTTCAAATTGTCGCAGTTGTTATTTACGACTTGAAGGTACTAGTTGAGATTGAATGTCGAAGCTATAATCTAAGAAGATTTACAAAATTGTTGTATACAATGGACAATTGGCATTGTATTTATTATTACAGTATACTGCGCTTAAAAGTTTCTCGTGCATCAGTAATTATCAATGTTTGACTAACCTAAAACATCGATTAACTAGCTTTGTTAATTTTTATTAAATCTTTTTCACTAGCAACCAAAGATTTGATAAAGTGAATTATTTACTCTTCCTATCGATGTTTAATCTGACATCTGACAGTATTTTATAATATATACCTACAGGTAAAATGACTTTATATAATACTGTATTTAATTTAGTGCTTAATGCTCTAAGCGTACGTTTAAGAGAAAATAGCAAGTCAATATGAGATAAAATTCAGAGCGACGTTCAATTTTTTACGAAACGTTTAATAGAGTACGAGTAAATTAATAAACATTGATTATTGCAGTAATTTATATCGCGCTCATGTTTATTAGTTTGGAATTTTATAGACTTTCATTTTAACGAGAATACAAATATCATTTGCAAAATACGATTTCAATAATTTCATTTATTTCAAGAAGAAATATTAGAAATGTTAGAAGAGGAACAAAATTGTACGCTGCTTGAATAGTACTCACTTAATCTCGAATTTTAATTTTCATATTCACTTCTCACGCTGTTTATGTTAAATTAAACATGCTATGTCTTTTCAATATCTGACACGACTTCTATTAACGTTAAGAGACTTCTTCCTCAAACATATTTTCCTCCAAAATTAATGTAATTAGACAATAACGAGCGACAATAATCTTAACAGTTCTGTAATAATAATATGGAATGTGTCTGATTCGTAAAGCTATCTACTTAGATATATCTGTTCTGCGATGATGTCTTAAACCTTAGACGAAGCAAAATTTTAAGTACTCTTAATAACATTTAATAGATATTGATATCTAACTTTCGATAAGTTAACGATAAACTTCCAAATTAGTTATTAAATTTATTATAATTCTATCTGACACTTTGAACAAATGTAGTAGTAAGTTTTTGTCACTTACATTCAATGCATTTACTTTGCAAGTACAGATATATTCATAAGTATATTTGTTAATTTTAGTATAATAAAATTAACAATCAGATAGGGTTAGTCTCGATGGTCTGAGGTATTTCTGTATCCGAGTTTAAGCGATTCATTGTTCGATTGAGAGATGTTCGCCAAGTCTTTGGTGATTTTTGAGATGTTTTCATTCGACTATTTCTACTACAACTGCGGTTTAGGACAGAATGGAGGAAGCCGTGACGCGATCTTCGACGTATAGCAGTAGTCTGTGTAAATTCTTAGTGCTCAGGGCTTGCAGGCTCGATAGTAATAACGCAAAATTCAGCTTTCTTTTGTCCATGATACATGTTTCAGTACTTATCGATAGATCATTGTGTAATACGTGTATGTTAAATGTAAACGCGCGGTCGGAAAGAATTGTGGTGTAATTCCGAGTCGATCGACATCAACGATTTGTCACTAATGCGAATGGTGTGTACCATTGTTCGATCGTCATCGATTTTATGAGAATGTATTGATGTGTTTGTCTAGACAATAACGAGTAAACGAGATGACAATAAAACGATAATAATAAACGATGAAGTAAAAGAACCTTCAATTCAATAATTCTTTCAATACTTCTTTATTTTAAGATTCTCTCTTTTGTTATAGATGTGAAATCGATCTTTATACGCAGCGAGCAAGAAAATCCCATATTTATGAAAGTTCCATGCTTGCTTTAAAATCTTATAAATAATTTTCTATTCATAAGATATGCTCCAATTTCCCTCGATGAAGAAGGTGCATAAATATTCTTACAAGCGGGATTAACTTGCTTTATTATGCTACAAAAGCAAGTGTAATAAATGTCTCAAGTGTCACGTACATCTTGTTCTGGTATTGTGTTTTACTTTTATATTTGATCGTTGTTATAGTTTGTTATATGAATAATGATCTGATCTCATGTGGTCTACCTGAAGGCTTAGGATTTAAGGAGATCAAAGGTATTCCAATAGTAGAATGATGGAGCTATGTTTTCTTTGTAAAATGGATTTGCTTATTTCATGGAGACACATGGGTATGTATGCATTAGTAGAAACTTACCTTAACTTTAATCATCAAGTAATATTTCGTCTTGAATTTCATATAAGTGAATTATATTTTATTTCTTATATCCAGGAACAATGGTGTAGAGGGTGTTCACAGAAGAAAGCACTCGACACAAGAATTAATAAAATATTTTCTTTATACATCTACAAATATACTTCGTACATGAGTGTCACGTATAATGTTAGAAATAGAAAAATATATACATCGACTTATTTACAAAAATAGACTATTTTAATTATGAAATTTTCCAGTAAAAACAGTCATCTTTCTTTATCTAATTAATGAGCAATTGCATCCTTGTACTTAAAATATTTCAATACTTTCTACATCACACTTTCCTATTAATTTACGTCACTGCTAAAAGCATAGCAAATGATTTATTCGATGTTTATTACAAAATATTAATTTTTTTAAACTAACGATTTAATAAATAATTTCTTTTTATATTTTACAAATTATTCTTTGATCCATGGATAAGATTGTCTAAAGGCTCATTTAATGTTACCTATATTAATATTGTCTTAACAATATTAAAAAGTCTATTATCAGTCATGTTAGGGAACCAAATATTAATTAATATTTTCTAAATATTTACTCTATTAAAAAGTCATCATACTGAATTTTAAAACTGTCCTACGTCTTACATTTTTCCCTTCTGATCTTCAGGTTCATTGAGACATCTCGACTGCTCAGAAGAATTGCCGAGAAAATGGGCGGAGAACCGGAAAGTTTTGCAAGAAACGAAAGCCATCATGCGGAATGAAACGTCGATCGATAATCCAACTTTTACTAATGCCCATGCAATCATCGTCCGTTAAAATATGCCGCCCACGCTTCGATGATAGTTCAACTGAGCGTGTTGGGAATAATCGTAGCCCTGATCGTACCATTCCGCCGCCGATGCAGAATTCCCAGTACCAGAGGACGATGTAGCAGCATGACTCGCGTGCGAGGAATGCTGATGACTCGAATGACTCGACGTGTATTCACTTTGGAAGTGATTGAACTGTCCCCAACCGAGTTGCGCCCTGGACCAATCGGTGTTGCCTGAAATTTGGACAACGTTGTTGCTCATTATCGCGCTTCGACAAGAACTAAAATCACGTGAGTTTTTTGAAATTTTGGATTTTAAACATTATTATAAATTATAAATACCAAATAAAATAAAATAAACTTTTCAGGTGTAGGACAAAATATTAACAACACTTCAATAATGTAATAACATCCAACTTGCCAGGGTTATGAGAGATAGTCGTCGGTGCCCCATGTGCAGCAGGAGGTTGAATCGTTGGTATCTGTCCCAGTTGCATCGTATGTCCCTGTAAGGAACTTAGATGTCCTGAAATCGACACTGCGTGTCCTTGAAGAGCACTGCTGATCGTGGAAGGCACTTGAGCCACGGACGTGGTGTTAGGTATCTGCGCATTGGCCCCTGGAACTTGATGAACAGCTGCACTCGCTTGTTGCAGTGTCGTTGGACTGTGGTGTAACGTGGTTGGTACTTGAGTTATTGCTGGTGGCATTTGAGATACCTGTGGTATTTGTGCAAGTTCGTGGCTCGCGTATTGACAGGGTGTCAATGGTAATCCCGTTACCGAGTGAGCTATACTTCCTGCGTGTTTTCGTAGTCGTGCTCTGCGATTGCTGAACCACACCTGAAATTAGAAATGCTTCAGTTAATTGAGATATCGAGTATTTAATACATTTTTATGCAATATATTGACAGAGTATACAATTTCTGAACATAATAGTGGTGACTGGATCGGATTTTTCCATATTAATTTAAGATTCCCTCTCTGTTTCATTGTATAATTCAATCAGCAACAAATAACTAACTTTTACTTGAATCTCTTTCAAAGTGAATTACTAATTATTTATTTCACACATGTCAGGCATTGTATGGTTGAATACGCATTCTAGCAGACGTTGACGTTAAAAAAATTAATTGACAAGATACTCGACAAATGGCGTAAAACTCACTTGAATTCTTGCTTCTGTAAGGCCAGTCCTCTGAGCCAATTCCTCTCTAGCATAAACGTCCGGATACTGAGCACGCTGGAACGCGGTCTCCAATTGTTCCAGCTGTTCTCCGGTGAATGTTGTTCTGCTTCTTCGTTGCTTTCGCTTCAGAGGAATACCAGGTTCACTCTCTGTATCGGATTCATCGCCGCAACGACCTATGAGTCGTCGAATTATTCTTATTATCTTATTTATCTTAAGTTACGTGAATTAGTTTCGAGTCACGACACGCTTTTATGGCTAATTAATCACGTTTAAGTAATGGAATAAATGATACAGCTATTCTGTCAAGTATGTGAGAATAAGATGCTGCCTGTGAACTTTCTGATTGAGTAGTTAATTAATTAATTAACTGATGATCGATTGATTAGTTGATTAACAGATTGCGAATATTCATGTCAATCTACAATTTTATGATAAATGGAGGTAGAATTTATGAAAATAAGTGGAATTTTTCTCATTTCCTTCGATTCATTTGTGACTCTTTTATTTCTAATTTAATAATAGATTTCATCTAGTATTTATAATCAATCATTCCAACACATTGATTTCTCACAAATCTCTTTCTGAAACATTTCCCTGGAAGTATTCCCAGAACTAGAAGATCCTCATTAACCATCAATTCTAACGTAAAAATTTCTCCTTTCTTCGGAAACCTCCTTTCATCAACCAAACCAGACGCACAACTGGAAGCATTCGAGATGTCTTTTCTTTCTGCATTCGATACTGGAACCGATCTGCCGATTTTTATATCCTCTTACTAGTCATTGTGTCTTGGTGATTCTTAAACTATCTTCAAATATTCCCTTCGTATTTATTTGACCAAATAATAGGAATACAAACAGCTCGTGCGTCTGTTTCTCTGAATGGCGGTAAAAGGCACAAGAACGTGTATACACCTTTGTAATAATATATAACAATGTATAGCTCACGAAATAAGCCAATAAGGATGACCATCGCGATCGTTTGGGGTAAGAACAGTTTGCTCCTAAGTCGACTCTCTATTGTATCACCCAGTGTCCATTATCGTTCAATCGAGCGTCCAGAAACGAAGAGAACCATTGTGAGATTGAGGATTTCACCTCTGTCTTTCTTTACTTCTTTACTTTCTCTTTTTTACTTTATCTTCTCCTTTTTACTTTATTTACTTTCGTGTAGGTAGAAACTCTTACGGGACCAGATTTTGAAATTTGGCGAACCCGAAAAGAGATGTAGATAAGTACGTCAATGTGTGTAACTATTTGCTTCTTAATTTCATGACAGTAGTGATATGTTCTTTAATGTGACATAATCTGATTAAATGTTAATGAAAATGTTATGTGGAATCTGTATTATTTAGAAGAACATTTAACAGAGCGATAAATCTTCATTGTAAATTAAAAATTCTGAAACTGAGTATAATTTAATTTTAATTACAAGGACGACGTCTGATGTTTGATGATTTAATCTTTCTGATAGTTTTAATAGATTTAAGTCTAATACTATAGTATTAATATTTTTTGTAGCTTTAAATAATGGCAGGAAAGGCTCAATTGTTGAAGTAACTTTTGATAAAGATTGCATAGGTCATCCCTGAAGTATTCATTTTAAATAATTATACTCAGCAGTGGCACAATTAATGTGAGTTAAGAGTTAAATTTTGGATATAATATAATTTAACAAATATTGAATATTTTTTTATATTGTATAATGTGCAATCTGTATATTTTTACATCTTTCAATGTATAAAATGATACAATGTATGCAAAAATATTTCAATAAATGTATAAATGTTCCCAATGTAACTGTGTAATTTTTGATAAACCTGAGAATCTTTCAAAGACAACTTTGCTTCACTTTCTTTCAGCATGCCCTACAAAACGTCGAGAAAAATAGAGCTGACGGTCTGATACGGTCGATTTCATCTTTAATCGTTTCGTGTGCTCTTTTCGCTAGTTCCATGACTGTAAAAATAAGGACAGACGTCTGTTATGACAACAAATGTCTAAATACCCCTGATGGGGATAACCTCTACCGATGTTTGCCTACCTGAGGATCTGTTTCATGAAGCGGAATTAAATGGCGTAAAAGCTGGAATTGTGCTTAGTAAATTCATCGTATTGGTACATGCCAATATAAAATAATACAAAATATTTATAAACATATTATACATATATATGTATGAAATTTAAACTATTCGAAAAATCGTGGAACTATTCACGCGTAGCAATTGTCAATAACTAATTATTTATATTAGAATTCTTGTTACAAACCATGCATTAATATTGTCTGTAATCTAATCTTTAGTCTACGATTCCAAAAGCACACGAATCTCTTCTAGAAATTGAGTAATTAATAAATATTCAATAAATTAGATAGAAAAGCAAACGTATAGTTGTCACGTGACGTTGCTGTTCTTTTCTATACTCGAGTGCTGCCATCTATCGGAGTGGCAAAACTTGGACTGAAAACTTGGAAATGTAACAGGAACATAGAATATAAACAGAGGTATCTCGACTACTGTTAGACAAGAAGCGCAATACTGTGCAAAAAGGACAGACATACGTGACGTAGCAGAGAAGGAGGGCACTATCGAACGACAAGGACAGACATATGTCTCTTTCTAATCTGTTGAATATTCATTAATTACTCGATTTCTGGAACGAAATCATGCACTTTTGGAAACGTGGAACAAAGTTCAGACTACAAGCGACATTCACGTATAGTTTTGTATCAGCATTGTTGTTTAAATTAAGAGTTATTAATTATTATTGCCCGACAGTCCGTTACTACCGACAATATCGACAATACCGACGCGATGAATTTTCGTATAATTTGGATTAACAGACAATCAATTATTAATGTTTATGCATGGAATATAAAGTACAGAGTCTAAGCAAGCTTCTACGATTCCAAACAACAAGCTTCAATCTTGCAAGAGCTCAATACTAACGAAAAATAGTAGTCATGCATCGCGTAAGCCTAGACACTCGTTGAAAGAATCGTTTAGAATGGTTTATAATTAATTAATTAAACAAAGAATCGTACCCGAAACTGTAAAGGAACGTTACCTAAGGTTTGTACTTTATCATGCAAATCCAAAAGTGCACGAATTGTTCCTGAAATTTAAATAATTAGTGAATATTCAATAGGTTAAGGAAAGAAATATGTCTGTCCTTTTTGCACAGTATCGCGCTTCTTGTCTAACAGTAGTCGAGATACCTCTGTTTATATTCTATGTTCCTGTTACATTTCCAAGTTTTCAG